CCTTCATGGAAACACGCAGACACAGAGCATCCTGAGACACGGCCGGTCTCCAGGAAGAGCTCCAAGTCATGCTCTGGGTCACCCAGTGAGGGAGGTGATTCCTGCCAGGTCAGCCAATGTTGCATCTTCTTCACCACCTCCCTGTGGATTGTCAGCTTAGGAGTGATTGACTGTGAAAGCCTGAGTCCACCTGTCCAGCTTCTCTCTGGAGTACAGGGGGAGGTGAAGTTTGAGTGTCACACTGCAACCTTAGAGTGGAAAGACATTTGTCCTTCTTGAACCACATCAGGGATTCTGCGTCCTGCTCCCTCTGGGGGAATCCTTAAACACCAGATATGACCATGCATCACAGTCACTACAGGGGAGAGAATAAGAAGCAGAAAAACAAAATGAGTTGTTGAGGAAGAAAGAATGGAAAACCTGTGACCTTTCCTGGTTCATTGGACAATGGAGCAGATAGATCTCTGACCAAACAGGGGTTATTTACCCTGGATGTCCATTTACCTTGGCTTTCAGAAATCTGGAAGAGGACATGTTGTGTGAGGAATGTGGGGATTTGGGCTGCATGTTCTCTGGTATGTGAATTCAGGGTTCCTTCTTTGCCCAAAAGAGTTCTTAAAATTACAGTTATTGTATTTTACATAAAAAAAATTGGTGGTACAAACATACAGCTGACATAAATACATTTGGAAATGTAGAATAAGAAATACAAGGAATATTATGAGAATATGGACAATATGAATGTATATTAAAATGTATTTACATGTGCAGAGATATTTATAATATTTTTAACTGTGGAGTGCCAGTGGGGGATCTGCTCCTTGTTAATAAGGCCAGTAGTGGATTAAAAGAAGCTGTATTTGTGGCAGAATGTTTTAGTTCGGATGGAATATAGTTGGAAAATTCAGATTCCTATTAATTTCCAATTTCATATATTGATTTGACAATGTGTCTGAGTGAGACGAGTTGTTTGGGACAAGAAATACTATTCCCATAACAAGCCAGGTTCTTTCTCAAGGTTTATTCATAACATGTTCCATAGTGTCTGTAATTTGTTTTGATTAAATGTATTCTGCCAACCTTCACTGCTTTTCCCAGACTTTAAGTCAGTTTAAGAAAAACGGTGTTTAGGCAGAACAGGGCTGAGCATCGAGCTGTGAGGACTGTATAAATAAACTGGATTGCATATCTGAATACTTTTTTTTTTTTACACGACATAAACTGTAGCCACATTCCAGACAGGAGAGTCTGAAACAGGATGGAAGGGTCACCTGCTCGCCTCACAGCCATGGAGACGTGTGTTTCCTGAAATGAAGGAAAATTGTGGCCATTCACCCTCTCTGTGGGGTGACTGATGCGCTGCAGCCTGTTCTTGTCCCTGCTGGTCGCAGCAGCAAAGCAGATGGTTAAGAAGAGAATGGACTCGATAGCAGAGTAGAGGTGCACAATCTTTGGCTTTGGCAGGCTGAACTTTTTAGCAGCTCCAGGAAGTACATCCTCTACTGGGTCTTAGGGAGGTGACGTCCAGTTCGCACTGGATTGGCGATGATGATGATGAAGAAGAATGAAGCAGAATAGGTCCACTGTGGCGACTGGTGGCGAATCAGAGCTTCATAGAACAGATTTAAAGGCTGAGCAGCTATAAGCCTTACTTCACTGTGAAATGCAAAAGAGTTGGATGTTTGGTTGTGGTAGTTTCCAGAAGAATGGACACTTTCCTGCTTTATTGATGGCTGTGAGAGTCGGAAACAGAGTAAATTCCTCTTTGCTTCAAAAAAGGTTAAATCTTAAAAAACACGTCATCATTGTAGAGTTTTCTCATACAGAAAGTTTTATCCTTTTCCCTGTTGAGGGAGACTAGAATAGAGAACTATTTTGTTTATATTTTTAAATCATTGTGATTATTGTTACTATATTATGTGTCCTATTACCAATCAGCAGCTACAAGAGAGATGTAATAAACTCTCAGAGGATTCAGCTTATTCTTTTTTCAGAGCGTTTATCTCCTAATGGCATTCAGGAGCAAACGGGGTAAGGTAGCATAATGAAAAGCAGCCTACTACCACACCAGCCTGCATCAATTGTTTCTCCATAACTGCTCCAAAGCCTGTCTTTCAATTTAGTGGGAGATGGTTTGTTCTGTTTTCTGAGGGAGATGTGGAAAACGAAGAGCTCCATCTACGGCGACCGAGGTCAGAGAAGTGAAGAGTTGGAAGGCAGAGAGGGTCACTGAAGGTTGATGGCTTACAGAAAGTGAAAGGAGAGGCAGCAAATAGGAAAGGGAGCACCACACCCTGTTCAGCTGGAGCAGAGAGGGAAAAACACCATGTAGAGTAAGAGAATCCCTCCCTGTTTGGTCTCAGTCCTGAGGGGACATTTGTGTCAGCGGAGCACGAATTTCTCATCACGCAAATGATGCTTCAACATTCATGAATGCTCTCTGCCATGCTTTGCTCCCTGCATGTCTTTTCCTTGCTTCCATCTGAACCATACATATCTTAGACTGGAGGTTAAGATAAATGTTCTGTGGAGAAGACTGTTGAACGCTGTGTAATAAAACATACAGATTCATGCGCTTTTACATGCCTTTCTGCACATACATGGTGAAGTCAGATGTCCAATAAAACATCAGACTTTGAATAGGGGAGGATAAACGTCCAAAATCTCCCTCATGTCTCTGTCCTTTCACCACAGACTCTCTGCACCCTCCCCCTTCATCCCCACGTCTGTCCTCCCTCATCCTCTCCTTTCTCCTCCTTCTGCCTTCAGCCCCGCCAGCAATGACCCCCACCCCCTTCATCTTTTGCCTCCTCCTCCTCCTCCCAACCCTTATTCTGCTGACCTCTTTTTTTCTGCCTCACTGTACCTCTGCTACTTCTTCCTCCACAACTCCTTACCCCTCTCTCCTTTTCCCCATACAGCAGATGGGACTCTAACTCTCCCCCCTCCCCTACTAAACAAAAGCTTGTTATTCTGCAAAAATAAAGTCTCTTAGCAGTCTGTCTAAAAGAAAATCATGCAATCTTAAACAATAAGACTTCTGCAGTGATCCAAACCATCAACCTCCCACCCTAGTGGGAAAATATGTATATAAAGAATGAAATAAAGTTTATTTAAATCAGAAAATGTAAACATTGCTGTGGTTGTTAAAGCCAAAGATGGAATGTTCCAGTTATGATAATGTTTTCTGTAATAATTAGCCAGTACTTTAGGGTGTAAATTGTTGTAAATTCGATGCTTTTTGTAAGGTTGTTTTTTTTATTGAGAAACGTAAGTTGAGCAAACAAAATAATCGCGCTATTAGTTCACAGATTACAACATTTTTAGTATGAAAATACCTTGATAAGAGTGATGGCCATCTCTCTTGTTTGATAATCTTCTTCAAGCCAGAAGTGTAACCCTTCTTGTGTGGTTCAGGAAAATATGAAGACTTCAGAATTCTTCTATTTTGAATGAAGCCCAGAGCAAGTAAAAGTATGTCATGATCAGATCATTTAATTTTTAGCAATGTACAACAAGACTTCTGCCGGTGGTGCAGTGCTCTGTGCTTCAAACAGGTGAGAAAACAATAGTCATTCTAATTCTTTCCCTGTTATCTCTTAAACACCCTTATATACCGGTAAAGGGAACCTCCTTGCAGAGATTTCTTGCAGTTTTCATACTGAAAACAAGCTGCGCCTACAGTCCGGCAGCTGAAGCTTGGACCAAACTACATTAAGAACAGGACATTGATCCCAAACACTGCAGCAAATCTGCTACAGAATGATTGACAAGGGAAAGGATATTGACAGTTATATGGCCTAGTCAAAGTAAGGGAATCTAAAACGAATCCCATCAAGCCTCCATACACTGAAAAAAACTGTTGGTGTTGCACCTGTTTTCAGCTGCTCAGTTTAGTTTCAGTTTAAGGAAGTCATTATTTTTATTGATGTAAGAGGAAAAGTGATCATGCTAAAAACCTCTTAAGTCACAACTTATTTTGGAGTTCAGCGAGGTATGAAAACGTTCTTCTATCCTGAATAAAGCCTGCTGGAAGTTTATGCAGGTCATGACTGGATGATAGAAAAATGTAAACCATGTGATCAGTGTATTTGTATTATTATTATTATTTTTTTTTTTAAACACATTGCCGTCCAATCAAGCAATTATTTGCACATAACTTTTCTGTATCTGAAAAATATCAGAGGTTTCATTCACACCCTCGGTGTTTCTGTCTGCGTAGATGCAGTCACCCGTGCACAGGCAGAAGAGAAGTAGGGAGAGAAAACAGCCCTGGGGGGCACCTGGACTGAATCGTTTTTAGTTGGCATAGATGATTCTCCCCATCATCACCGTCTGCTGCTGGTCAGTCAGGAAGCTGATGATCCACTGACAGGTTGACTGACTGTGAAATCAGTGAGCTCCCTGTGGAGGATGTCTGGGTTAATGATGTTGAAGGTCCAGTTGACCAGTATATTGACCAGTTGGCTCAGGAGGCAACTTCAGATGATTCAACACCAGAAGAAATAATCTAAAGAATGTGATGACATCGGAGAAGCAGGTCCATATTCATTTAATCCTTTTTGAACCAGGATGATGGTCTTCCTGATTCTCACTTATCACATTGGTGGTTTCAGATTGGACACATTAAAGGTGCCAATTAATACCAGCTAAGTGATAGATGCTATGTTACGATGCTGAATGAAGACTTTAGTTAGACAGTAAATCAGTTGGAGCCTGGATGTTGTGTCAAGGGTTTTGATTAGGAGTTCATGCTCTTATTTTGAAAGAAGTCAACTATATTTCATACCAGCAGAATTATTGACTTTACACTAAAGGATAGTCAGGCTTTGGTAATATATAGGAAGTCTTTATCCAGTGGTAAAGGGTTGTAGGTGGCAGTGGGACCTACCATGCTAAGGTTAAATGGAATATTCTGCCTGACTAATATTCAATTAAAATGCTTCAGTTTTCTTTCCTCCTCCTGTCAGCTCAACCGCTGTCTCTGTCTCTACTTTCAGATGACTTGTCTTCAGAAAGCGGCAGCGGGAACGGCTTACCTGCCCTGACCCCTCCCACCTCTGCTGTGACAGATGGTGCCATCGTCAGGGAAACGGAGGTCGTCAATGGTGCCGTTGGGGCTGCCCCTCTGGACTTCAGCAGGCCGACTTCTTCTTCCTCATCATCTGAGGACCAGCAGCCGGTGAACCTGAGCGAGCCGCCCTCTCAGCGTCTGCCCCTGTCTACCTCACACCTGCCCATCACCGTCTCTGCAGCAGCTGCAGCGCTGCTCGGCGCTCTGCATCCCAATGCGCCAGAGGAACTCCGGAGGAAGTACCCGCTGGCCGCCAAACCCCCCCTGGCTCCGCATCCGGCCCTGCCTCTGCCGCACGCACACACTCCAAACACACACGCCCCGTCGCACACACACACTACAGAGCTTCGACTGGACCGAGACGGCAGGGACTACGGGAGTAAGGTGAGAGAACATGCATGCACACCCACTCAGCCTTAACTTAGAAACATCCATTTACATCTTCCTTTCAGAAGCAGTGAGATGCCACACATTTTTATAAACCTGATTTGGTTTTTGATAAAACCAGCAGAAATAAAGACTTTACTTCAACTGCTTTGAACAGGATGTTCAACAACAGAAGTTTTAATTTTAGAAATCCTACTTTCATCTTAGCAATTAGGATTCAAAATCCTAAAATCTTCATAGCTTTTATATTTACATTGAGTATAATTTTCCTTCAACCACAAGTATGTGTCTGTAGAAAATGAAATATGATGGGGTTTTTTTAAATTAAAAATGAATTCTAAAAATGTTACATAACCTTCGTAATAATAATAGAACATCTCTATTGGCGTTAAAGAAGTTAACCAGAATCAAATGCTTAGCAGTTTCTTGCACGTTTCCTTTGGTGTTTTGATAATTATCTTTAGTGATACTTTAAGTTTAAGGCTGAGAGCCTCTGTACCATTGCCCTAATCTGTAGAGCTTTCTTGGGATTTTCAATCACTCCTTTCCTGTTTTCTTTTAAGTTGGGATTTAATATTAGTTTCAGTCAGAAGAACAAATATGTTCAGCATTTTAGAATGGTTTAAAGAATGCGATGATTGCCTGCTGTTGGGGAAACCAGTTGAAAGTTTGATTTGGTGATCTGTTATTGTTCGGTGTGATGATTGTATCTCTCTGTTCACTATGTATGGTGTTCACTTTGGAGATTGTGCACCATGACTGCTGGTGTGAACAATTTCCTTCCTTCTCTTGTCTAAAAACTGAATTGATGGTTTTTGGTACAGTTGAAGCTGTAGATACACAATCCTTTGACACCTACACCAAGAGATCCATCACTAATCTCTGGGATAATTAATTAAAATAGAAAAGTACAAAGCAACGATTCAATCTCTGCATTTAACCCATCTTCTTGGTGAGCAGTGGGCTGCAATTATGTGGCGTCCAGTGATCAATGTGGGGTTAAGTGGCTTTGCTCAGGGACCCAGAGTGGCAGTCGATGGGAGTGGGGCTTGAACTCAGAACCTCTGGGACCCAAACGCAATGCCCTAACTATTAGGCCACCAGTCCCCCAGATGTAGATGGAGAGCAGCTTACATTTTAACAGGGCAGTCAGTTCAAGCCTTTATTGTTTGAGGCACTTGGCTAAAATAAAACCTGTTTTTTTTTTTTTTTATTCCAATCTATGCCTTTTATAAACCAGCTTTGATCAATGCAAAGCTCTTCATGTGGGTCAATAAATCTTTTATTTTCCAGCTCTAAATGTGCAAAAATCAGCCCTTCCATTTTGGCTTCTCTGCACCTGCTGTCAGTACATTTTAGGATTTATTATTAAATGCCTTTCATTAGTTTAAAAAGTGCGGCCCCATCCTACCTCTGAGTTGTTTCCTAAATGAAGCTGGAACTGTTGCTTGATCTTTTTGCAGCCATGAGCTCTTCCACTGCTGTCTCCATTACCTGCTCCTTTTCTCCCTCTTTTCACCTTTGACTCTGCTTTTAAGCTCATTAGCATGCAGAACTTGCACGTTTCATTGGACTGAAACATCAGTGGAATCTATAAGACAGGATTGTGCTGCAGCTACAGGTCATGCAGTGTGATTGGAGCTGCCGTCGTATTACCTTCACACAGTTGGACACATTCAGCTTGTAGAATATTACTGAAACTGCAGCATGTCACCCTTTAGAGTTCTTTAGAGGCGAGGAACAGGAAGAGAGCTGACATGTCTCATGTTGCTGCTGTGACGTTACGCCATTGTCTTATTGACAGAAATCCCTTCTGTTGGACCCACAGAGTCATATTTAACCCAAGCGTCTTTTACTTTGCACAGTTAGGAGTTTTAAAAGAAATGGTTCAACAGGTCAGCTCTTTAAGGCAGCAATGCAATGTTTGGACGTATTCTTTGCTCAGTGAATCAGTAGGCCTGGTTTTGTTAATTTCTTTGTAATGCTGAAGGTGGGCTTTAAAGCTTTACATTTTAGATTCTCATCCTAAAGTTTCAAATGAAGACTTTTTTTCTCAAATTTTTAGAGGCCATCAGATTTGTTGTGTTTTTAAGAGGTCATAATGCACTCAGACAAAGTACGCAGGGTTTCTAGAAGGGAAACAAGCCACAGAGTGGATATAGTGCCTTCAGTGTATTTTAACAGAGGACATTAGGGGATTTTTTTCACATTTTCTTTCTGCCAAGGTTAGTCTTATTTCTTAGTTTTTAGTCATTCTAACTTTCTTTTGAGAATAAACTGTTTACTTGATCTCTTTGCTCTGATCTCATCATTTAATTGTTTTATTTCTGTCCTTTTCTGATTTTATTTTCAGTACTTTGGTCGCTGCTCTCGGTGCGAACTTGTGGCCTTAATCTTAATCTGTCTCTGTTGTTCCATTTAAAAACATCCACTGGAAAGTTTCATACAATGGAATCTGAATTTAAATAAATAGTTAATATATAATCTAGATTTATTTTATCAAAGCAGTAAAAAAGTTTTAATTTATTTAAAATAAAACTTGGCTCATATGAATAACCAACTTTTTTTTTTCTTTTGGGGAGGTGTATGGAGGCCTGTGTTATTTGTGAAGGAGGTGCAAATAGAAATATTCTATGAATATTGGCGTAAATGTTCCTATTTGTGCATCCTAAATGAAAATATACCAAATAACAGCAGAGAAGGTAGCAGGGCCTTTGGTAAAAAAAAAAAAAAAGACAGAAGTTTTAATACAAAAGCCAAAAAAAGAAAAACTGATTAAAAAGTCATGTTTTTTTTCTCTGTGGTTTTCATTAATTCATCTTTTCTTCTTCCTGCTCTGTGACCATGGTGCACTTAGAGAATCTCTCTTTGAAAGAAGTCATTTTCTCCTTTTATTCAGGTTCAGTGTGAAAACACAGCAGCGGTTATCTGTGGAAACATGAACTCTTTGCTTGGTGAATTAATAAGGACACCCACATTGTCTCATTCTGGATGTATTAAAACACTGAACTGTCGTTTCTAAAGACAAGGAGACAGAATGAAAAGCTGGAGGTAAAAGCAGGAGTTTCTCTCTCCTACCTTCCTCCTCTCACCGTCTTTGTGTTGAAGCTGAATGGCAGATACTGGTGAACAATAGACACTGGCCTTGAAGATAATATATTAGTGCCAGACCTGAGTGAGGTTTGAACACGAGTGCAGCTTTACTCCTTCCCCTCGCATTTAGACTCTGAAACAAACACTCTCAGCTTGCCTCCATTATGGAGCCAACAAACGCTTCTTTCACTTTTTACACCGTTTCTCCTCTGCCAGCGTTGTGGGGGTGTGTTAAGTTCACTTTAAGTGTCACTCTGCGTTTCTCCTGGCTTTTACTGTGTCTTTGCTAAAGGTTTATCACTCTACATAGTGTAAATGTGTGTATGTTTGCAGAACTGTGATCTTCCTTAGCAGGAAGAATTTGTTGCAGGCGACCTGTGAGGGCAGCTTAAAGATGAATTCAGTCTCTGGCTTCATTAGTCCTGCAGGATCAGCAGAGGTGAAAAGATTTGTTCAAGTATGCTAACTGTGCGACACAAGGCTGCTAATTAAAAAGTCTTGCATGTATTGCTCTGCAGAGTGTTTGTACCTCTTAATCTTTAGTTTCCTTAAGGTTTTTTGTTTGATACTCTGAACATTGATGTTCATATATACATAATTTCCCATGATGATATAGAAAAATTCTCCCTGTAGATTTTATCTGACTTTGTTGATAGGAATAATGAAGCCAGGCCGTCTTTGTAGCTATATATGTTGAAACGGAAAGCCTCTGAAAACTTTGCTGTCCGCCTAAAAGCATTTGCCTTTGGTTACCTTTAGTTATCGCATTCATTGCTTTTTAAGATTCCTTTGGATTTTAAAACATAAAATTCACCTTAAACAGTGATGACATCACAGTGTAGCTTTTGAAATATTCATAACCCTTCTGAGTTGATGAGCACGCTGTGTTGCCATCTTTACATGTGCATCTATACTGTACCTCCCACTGAAGGTACTTTAAGGTTTTTATTTACAGTGTTTCCTTTAAATATTTTTTTTTTTCAATATTTAGAAGACGGTGTTATTAGGAGTCATCCGTTTTTGTATTTTTACTTTATGCAATCATCAGTTCTTCAACCAAACCCGTTCTGCATGTCTCTAAAGAATTAGAACTTTGAAAAAACAGATTTTCTCAAACTGAAACCCAGAACTAGCTAAACTTAGTGATTATCGAGTATATCTATGGGTATTCTTTCACTTGTTCTAACTTATTAGGTCATAATGTTTTTAGTCAAAGATTATCGACCGTCGAAAACTTTCTTAGAAGAGATTTATAACTGCAAAAACCAAGTAAAGCAAATACATTTACTGAATAGGCGGTTAAAGCAAAACGATATGATAAACTCTAGCAAGAAAATGAGCAGAGCTAAAGACAGCCGGATATCTTTAGTAAACGAAAATTATTTTTGCAACTTGAAGGTAAGCTGCAGGAAGAAGAGCAAAGCATCTGTTGCCATGACAGCCAGCCGTCACAGCCAGCCTTGACACCTCGATGAATGTTTGCAAGCTGTGAAGCTAATTTATCCATTTTGCACAACTTCTTCAGCTGCTGTTGGAGAGGAGGAACTTTTTCTGGCCTTCACTCACTAATTACATATCTGTAAAGTCAAGCTGCTGACTTGGTTCCTACCATTTTCACTTTACTTTAAGCTTTTCGTTATTATGAAATATCTATATTTATTGTTCACCTTTTTTTGTTTCATTTAGTATTTGAGGTCATAGAACTAATTTCATAACAAAAGTAGTCTGATTGGTCGTGGTAATAGTAGTTTGAATTTAAGATGCAATTTGATAATGATTTTGTTATTTTCTTGTGGTATATGTTCACCCCCCCACCCATGGTTAAATTATTAAGGAAATGTGTTTAGCCACAGTTTTGATGTCAATTCTAACCGATCTTAGCTTGTCTTTATTAAAGTGTTGACTGCAGAATAAAAAAACTTTTAAAAAAAACCTCACTGAAATTGTTTAAAAATTCATCGGTTTTTACATCTTAAAGCAACAAATCATGTCAGAATCTAATGCAATGAAAGACTTGATAAGAAAATAAGTGATATTTTTGGGAGGACATTCACAACAAGGCAGGCGCTGTTTGCATCAGTTTTGGTTCAAAGAAAGACCCTTTACCAAAAATATCTTTGATTCTCGATAGTCTGTAGATTTCAGAGGTTTTCGTAGATGTGTTTCACTTTCTCATGTTCTCGACTGTAAGTTAGAACATTTGAATGTATATATTTAGACATATACTTGTAAGGTTGACCCTTCTATTATTAGATAAAATACAAAATTAAATTAAAGTTGTCAGATAGTTTTAGTCGTACATAATCTCTCCGTCCTCAGAAGAAAGGTTCAAAGAAATCATTGAAAGTTGCAGATCCTACTGTCTTTCTTTTCAGACTTGAAATTCTTCTATTCTCTAGAAGAAAGTTTTTCCATTTTGTTCCTTAAATGTTTAAAATATTTCATTTCCTGTGTAAAGCATTGGAGTGGATGCATCATGGTATGAATGCATTTAACTGGTAAAAACAAGCCAGTTGGCACTTGAGCAGTTATAAAGTCAAACTAGAATATTATTCAAAGACTAGCTTTTTCACTAATTTTACTAAGTGGAACAAATTATAAAGATGAATGACAGCCAGACCAAGCCTTTATTTCTGTTTATTATGATGGTTTTCTGCTCACTGCATTTAAAAGACGTCAGATCAGATTACATCAGACCAATAAAATAACATATTTCTTGATGCAGAAATGTGGATGAAAAATATCTTTTAATTTATGTTTCACAGTTTTTATTTTCAAAATATACTTTCAATCTGACAAGCAAGCCTCTTCATAATATAGATACATGCTGATTGGATGAATCCGACTGAATGTTGAAAAATATGCAGGTAGGTCTTTAGATTGGGAGCAATATTCGCTCTTAATCATCCTACTGAAATGTTTTCAGTTTTGCACCAATTAAAAGCGTTGATAAATGACCAGATCTCATTTTTTTAAACATCTAATTTAATCTAAAAGAAATATATGTGTTTATCCTATAAGACCAAAGCATTTGTTAATTTAGCATAAACTATGTTGAGAAATGTGATTTGGAGAAGAATAAGTGTTTCTGTGTTTGCAGTCTCCACAGTACAGTTCAGGAGGGAGCTACGACGGCATTAAGATGGAGCTGAACGCAGAAGACCTCACCACTGGGCGTCACAGCACCCAGGTCGCCCCTGACGATGACGACGACGACCATGACGACCATGATGACAGCGACAAGATCAACGACACGGAGGGTGTCGACCCTGAGAGATTAAAGGCCTTTAATGTAAGTCGGGAGATTGGCCTTGATGGATGTTCATAGTGGAAAAACTCAGCCGCTAGAAAATCCAGCTGTCTGACCAAAAGCTACTCATTTTTAGGATGGTGTCAGAATGCATAAAAGGGAAATCTGACATGAACAATGAATCCATGTTTGGATGCTTCTGTTTAGTACCACAAATATAGAGTTTATAGCCATCTAAAGTAAGGGGTGGGGTTAGAAGGATTTTGTTCCCCCCAACCTGCAGCTCAAGAATAGCACAGACTTGACCGCCCTGCAGGCAGTGGATATGATGACCCACATCCTGTTGTTGCTGCTTGGAAAGCAGCAGCAACGACGTAGGACATTGGACCCTAAAGTCAAGAACACTGGGCCAATTTTTTTTGTGATGCAAAAAATTATCACTTTTATTTCTAATTCTAACATTAATTAGAAACCGTTTTCCCCAAAAATCTACTTGGTTTCTTTCATTATTCAATTTCCTTTTTTTAAATCTGGTCTGAAAAAGTAAAACTAAATTACAATGATATTGTTTTTTTTTTTTTTTTGCATTTTCTTAAAAAAAAAAAAATTGTCCTGCCAGTAATTTCAGCAGTACAATTTTATCCCACATGATAGAAAGTTTGGACTCCATTAGGCCCTTGATGACGCCATTTTATCACCTGACCTGTGTTTTTGTTGCAGATGTTTGTTCGTCTGTTTGTGGATGAGAACTTGGACCGAATGGTACCGATCTCCAAGCAGCCCAAGGAAAAGATCCAAGCCATCATCGAGTCCTGCAGCAGACAATTCCCAGAATTCCAGGAACGCGCCCGCAAGCGCATCCGCACCTACCTCAAATCCTGCCGACGTATGAAAAAGAACGGCATGGAGGTAGAGTAGCTGTACCTGCTGGGTTTTTAGAACTTTTGACATTAATGACATGCGTTTATATGGGTGACACTATTCTGAGAGTGAATGAGTGCAGGTACTGTAGAGCTGGCTGCGTGAAAAGGATTAAATGAAGAAGGAAATATGGGGATTTTCACTGGGAAGGGTCAAAATGGATTAGATTAGAAATGAATGTAGCAGGATGATTAGGATGTTCAGTTTGGAGGCAGGGTTACGAAGGCATGTAGAACATGGACAGAGGATTATTTCATATTCGGATGCTGAAGATGGAGCTCCCAGAGGAGAGGAGAAGGAGAACAGGCAAGGTTCCATGGATGCAGAGATGAAAACCAGACAGCAGGATTTCCTACAGATGTTAAAAAAGGAGACAGTTGATTTACTTTGGCTCCCCCTAGAGGCATTATTGATAATTATTAGTTATTGATAAAACATACAGATTCATGATTGAGCTTATCTTCACATTCTGGGATCTGCCCATAGGTGTCATGATAACTTGGTTTTTACCTTTAATGATGCAAGAGTAATTTGTCTTTGTAAAAATATTAAGCGTCTGTGTGGGAGCATCAAGCATAATGTAAAAATGTCTTGATATGTTCCAGATACAGGAACATACAGAAATGAGAACCTCTTAGAGAAAAGCTTATTTATTTCTCTTTATCCTACAGCTGGGTTTGTTTAGTTGTATTGAAATATCTCTTCATGAAACACTAGTTTTGTTTTACACATTTGGAAATATATAACTGGAGTTGTTGTCCAAGTTATTAAGATTTTTTTTTCTCATTTAAAATAAGCAACTGACTGAACAAATAAGGAAAGTGTTGATTGTATAAGGTATAATGGTTTTATTACTCTTTATTTATTCTTTGTTTTGTAGTTTTGGAAAACTGTTGATTGCTTCCAAAAAGGTTTTTAAAAAATCCACTGGACTTTGTTTTCTAAGTTTGAAGACTTTTCACGTTCCATCCATCATTTCAATTTTGAATTGAGAAAGTTTCCTGGATGGGAAGCGAAACGTCTTCAAACTAGGAAACAAAGTCCAGTAGATTGTTTTTTAACTTTTTGGAAATGACTTTGACCTCAATGACTGAGAATCTTTACCAGCATATTGATTACTTTATTTTTTGTGAAAATATAGCAGAAATATATTCTTTATTCTAAAGTTGGAGGTTCTTCCATCAGTTTTAAAACCTAAAGAAATAACAATTAGATTTATTCATATATTCACTGTTGTTTATTCAATGTACTGTTTTTTGTTGTTGTTGTTTTTCCTAATGAAAATTGTTTTTTCTGAAGGGTTTGGGATGGATTTATAGCTGTATTTTACAGATCCTATATTGGGAGGGGGCAAAAACAGTTCACCTACACCTGCACTGAGGTTTTAATAGAACAGATCATAGTAATCTCTGTACTGCCCCCCTGTGGTTTAGTATAATATTACCTGTTATAACAAAACGAAAGATGTTCATCGTTCTTCCTATTTGACAGAATATTTCTGTTAGAAAAGTCATTGTTTGGATGTTGGGTTATTAATATACTGTGACTTGTGTTTTCTCTATATTTAATAAAGAAATGTTATAATTTAATGAGTGAATAACTGTCCCACTTTAACCTTTTCCTGTTTGCAGACCCGTCCAACTCCACCTCACCTCACCTCAGCCATGGCTGAAAACATCCTGGCTGCAGCCTGCGAGAGTGAATCCCGCAACGCTGCAAAGAGGATGCGCCTCGAAGCCTACCATGTAAGGAGGAAATCACCTGTAGCCTCACTGCTATAGAGGAGTCAGAAATGTTTGTTTGACTTTAGGTATAATTCAGGGTCACGGTTAAAGAAGTGTTTTTTATTTGTTTGCGAGTTGTTGCAGTTAGATCTCAATGAGGAGAAATTACTTCCAACACAAGGATTAGAATCAGTCTATTATGAGTAAATATCAGTAGAAAAAGTCAATCAAAATTAGTCTAATCTGACTGGATTCTTAAATCTGATTTAAAGTAATGGCCGCCTTCTAACAGGAACATTTAAAGAAAACGGACTCAAAATCTGATGCTTGGCTGGTCTTTATCCCAGAATAAGAATATTAACCCCAACAATAAGTAATTATCATGTATCTAAATGTACCCTATCTATGCTCCCTTCTTGGCCAGATCACTTTAGTATCAATGAGTTATTACATAAAAATTATATGAATAAATATATTGAACTTATACCTACTAAACAATTATTATTCTATCTATTGTGAGAGTTTTTATGTACCTTAGAAATCTTTATTTCTTATTCAGGTTAAAATCCTAACAGGTCACCATGTTGCTGCAGGTGTCTATGTGTTTGGGTCACTTTATAAAGTCTGTCTCCTTCTCCCTGGGATCAGCTGCATTCCTCCCTCTAAACATTGCTTAGTTTCTTTTGTTATTTTTAATCAGTTCCCACCATGTCCCCCTGTCTCTCTACAGGATGAGCAGATCTCCCTGGAGAAGCCGTCCAGCGGAGGCGCCACTCTGAGGGAGCCGGTGTCCCTCGCTCATTCTGCTTACTCCTTGGCTGCATCAGCCTTCCCCTCCCAGGACACGCAGCTCTACATCAACGGGGCCGGCCTCAGCTATGGTTACCGTGGATACCCAGGCCTGAGCTCTGCCATTCAACATCCCATCTCCCTGACGACCGGCACTGCCACTCAGAGCAATGGTGAGTTTAGATGGAAAGGGAGGGGTTTAAGAGCTTATGGAGCGAGGAACATTAAGAGAGGGAGGAGGCCTGGGGGGGAGCAGCATGCAAATTAATGGAGTAATATTTTACAATACCTTTCTTCTGATTTTAACTCACTCTTACTGACATCCGCTTTCTTAAAGAAATGATCTGCATGTAAGTAAGGTCCTGTGTAAGACAGTCAAACATGGCGTCTAATAAGCTGGTTCTCTGAAGCAGATTTAAAGCTCCGATGTTGCCCAGTTTCAACCTCACTCTGGTCTCATTCCTCTCTTTCTGATGCTTACATGCTGTTACCAAGAGATACAGCTTTATATGCTTTGTTGTGTAAAAAGCATCTCCCACACATGTCCATTGTGCATTTAGTCAGACTTGTCATTGTTGCTCAAATTTGTGTTTATGCTGATTGTCGTCGAGGAAGGAGACCCTCGGTTTAAGTTTCAATCCATTGCATTCTTCAGAAGGCTGAATTAGAATTAAGTCTATTTTCCTCTCCAAAACATTTCATGTTTAGGTTAGAAACTTGCATTTTGGCCCCTGATCCGAAGCCTTTCCTCTGAGTTTGCTGTGTTAATGGAAAAGTACAGTCAGAAATTCTCACAAATTTCGTCTTTCAACTTTTCAATGAAAACGGATAGATTTAACAGCTAACAGGCAACAGATATTTTCACCTGAGCTCTGAATCCTTGCAGCTCATCCAGAGTCATTATGAGTTTCTTGAGACATAACTTTCGACATCATCATGCCAATGTCTTTTATGAAGCATCCAAGTAACAGAATGTTTACCCACCTCACCCATTGATCTCTAACCTCTCACTACACCTGGACCTTTAATCAACTGTTTCATTGTTGCTTCACCTCTGCAAGAACCAAAAGACACCTCGTCTTTCTGACGCCTCACAGAGATGCAGAAGGTCTACAAATGTTTATTTTTTGGTCCCTGCCTTCTTGGAAAACAGCATCGCCTTCTGCTGCTGTGTGGAAGTAGCACCATAACACAGACAGCTTTAGTTCAAATCAAAGGAATTCAGTTCATGTCAACCATGTATGTCTAAGCCATTTTTTTAAAGGTACTTGTATCCTCGGTCATATCGATGAAGTTGGTCAGTGTCATTTATTATGTCAACTCTATTTTTCAGCAGTATTTAAAGTTTGTGGGATGATTTAATATAGGGATAGGTTACGTTGGTCCCTAGTGCCACTGTCCTGCAGCTTTTTCATGCATCCCTTCTTAAGGGCTCAGTCTGTGCTAAACTTAGACCTGAGATGCCAAGAAGGTATTTGGTCTTTTGTTTCAGGTGTGTTGAAGCATGGTTGCTTGCACAAGATGCAGGACAGTGGCACATGAGGACCAATAATGCCTACTGTTGATTTAATACCAAACAGGAAGTTTTAGTCGTTTTTTGTTTTTGTTTTAAGGAAATCATTGCAAATGTTAAATATATCACAGCAGTTATTACTAAACTCTCTGTCTCTCTTTCCGTCTCTGTCCTCATCCCACCTCTGATCGGCTGTCCCCTTGTCCATTTCCACCGTCCCATCCAGGTCCCACAGACCTCAGCATGAAGTCTCTCTACTCCAACAACATCACCAACTCCTCCTCCTCCACTACCACTAACAACCTCAGCGGACGGGGCGGTGGGGGCGGCGGAGGGGGCGGGGCATCCACACAGCTCAGCCAACCAGAAATCACGGCTGTGCGTCAGCTGATCGCAGGTTACCGGGAGTCGGCAGCCTTCCTGCTTCGCTCAGCTGACGAGCTGGAAAACCTCATCCTGCAGCAGAACTGAGGAGAAACGCACACAGACACACACACCTCGGACACAGACACACACAGTCTCATGTAATGCTTGTTTTGTGTCTGTTTCGGCTATGATGAACTCCAGACCCCCTTATTGTCTTTCTTGTCCCGCCTTCAACTCAGATTCTTTACACTTACTACAGTGTCTGTGCTGAAGTGCGGCTATGGAGGGGAAATTGGAAATATCCTGTATAAAAAAACCCTCAAGAAACAATGAAACACTTCTACCCACAACGAAATGAACCAGTTGGGGAACAATTGTTGAAAGAAAGCAGAGAGTTTGGACTCAAGAGGAAAATTCCCTCCTCCCCTTTGTTGAAGCATCCCACAATCAGCCGAACACAGGAGAGGAAGATGGAAGTGATCTGGAAAAGAAGGAATAACTGAGGAATCATAAACTCCCCAGATTTGAGTAAAGAAGTGATTTTCTTTTTTTTTGTTTTTGAAACTTTGACAATTAATGATTTAAATTAATATCTGATGAGTCCCAGAATGTTTTTTTTATGAGAATTTGTTTGTTTCTTTGATTAATTAATCTAAAAACTTGGCACTAAAAATTCCCAAAATTCGATACAAAGTGAATATAGAGCCTGGGAAGAGAAATGTTTAATTTAAAGGAAAAAGACAGATTTTTTGTTGTTGTTCATTTTGAGCTTGCTTGTACATATTGGCCCTCTGTGTCCTACAGCACTTTTCTCTCTCCTCAAACCTCCCGATTTTCACTGTTTTTACCCAGGGAGCAACTAGCTACTTACTTATGCATCCAAGACGCCATTTTTTTTAATTATTTGTTTATTTTTGAGCACCAGAATTTACCTCAGACCACACCTGCCGACTCTGCTACAAATTCCTTTACATTCCCAACAGGAAACCAGTTTACTTTGACTGTTCCCACCATCTGTCGTTCAAAGTCCCCTGCAGAATTGAAGCATTTGAAGGACTTTCTGAACTCTGAACTTCAGTTTTCTCGGTGCGGGTCAGTTGGCGTGCTGCTGTAAATAACACGTTTATCTTGAAAACTTGAAGAACCTGAGCTAAAGCCGGCAGGAGTGTGTTTCTCTGTGCGATCCTTTCCTTTAAGAGGACGGAAAGTGTGTGTAACGTGTGTGGGGTTGTGTGAGTGAGTGTGGAGGGGATGTGAAGAGAGGTGATGTATTTCCTAACTCCCATCTCCTCTCTTTATAAACATCTCAGCGTCATTTGGTTAAATATACCTCCTCCTTCCCCTCCCCTTCTCTCCACGCTCCTCCTTTTCGTGGACCTAACCATCCTCTGGTCTCCGGCCCAGGCTTCGGAGGACAGAGGAGGAATACTCTCTCTTTCTGTGTTTTGTCTTTTTAAACTCTGAAATGGCCATTACTATTGTTAATGTTGTTACTGTTATTATTCTTGATATGATAATTACATGAACTTTCATGTCGCCGCTGCTATCGAGAAACCGGACCTTCTGCCACAGACCTGAAACCTCAAGCCGTCCGACCAGGCATTTGGTCGGTCAGCTGCAGTGCCCTGTGGAGACCTGACCGAGCAGCAGACTTCCTGCTGCCTCAACCTCAAACTGTAACCAAACCACCAGGACTCTCCTCCGTCTCACACCAACTGGTCGCCTCTTTTTTGCTTCATAGGGCTTACTTCATGCTGTGTTGACTTTCTAACTGTGAATTTGGGTTTTCTTTTGCCTTTTCTCCTTATTGTTTCAGCATTTCTGTCCTCCGGGGGGCGCAGTGAGGAGGCATTATGAAGTTTTATAGCCTAACTACAACTCTGCCCATATAGATTATCAAGATTGTTTGTGAAGACAGAAAAAAGGAACTTTGCTCTAAATATCCTCATTGATTTAAAACAGTTCATCCCAAAGGAACGGTTTGATTTGGACAACAAATGATCCACAGGCAGGCAAGTGATGGAGTAAGAATGGTTTGGTTTTAAGGAGTTGGCACAAAAGAGAACAATGGTGGCATCAGAGGTGGAGTCTGCTGGCAACAACCAGCAAACACAGATGATGCTTTGTACATGCATTAGTTATCAGCACTTCAGAGTTTATTTAGGGAAATGTTTATGTTTTAGAGGCTAAGAACTGCCTCTTGTACCAGGGGTTTTCGTTTGGTTCTGTTTAAAACAGTGTAATGCCATTAAATATCTATGAAGCTTCTAGTCTTTCATTAGATGATGACGGCACCTCTTCTGGTGCCGGTTCTAAACATGTCAGCTCCTTGTTTACTGAATCATTGAGATAATGCATCGTTAGTCTGCATGTGGACCATGTGATGTCTAATTTACACCGTTCCCTTTTCTTCACCTGCTTGTTTCATTTAGTTTGAGGCTGCAGCCTGGTCCAGAAAGGACTGAAACAGAAAAATAGCTACTGTCCCGCTCTCATTACAAAATAGACCTTAAAGGGAGCCTCTAAAGTTATTTAAGTCTTATGTTTGATTAAGCCATAAAATAGATGCTGTTCCTCTCACAGGATACCACACAATGATATTTCCCACAATGCAAACTCATTCTGATCAGCTGTCAGACTTAAACTAGCAGAGGACTAGTTGTTCGCTATCTTACACGCTCTGTGCAAACAGTGTTTCATTGTAGCAGCAGTCCCTCTGTTTGCTTGACTTCTACATTTCAACTTGTTCGAATGTGTGACAGAAATGGCTTCTACCTGAAATTAATCTGAAATTAAACTTTTTTTTTTAAACGACAATATGTAACATTAGCAACAAGTAGCTTAAGTTTTCACATGCAGAGCCTGAGTTTATTAGCCTTCTTAAGGTTTGACTGACTTTTTTTTTTTCTGTATTTCTAATATAATGCATCCAGTTTTGTATTTTAAAATATGGTTCTGGCATTTTGGTCTGCAGTGTTTATGCTTGGACTTAATTTTCAATTCTTTTTGCACAATTAGCCAAACATCAGTGATCTGTTGTGTTTAAGGGGAGATTTCATTGTCTGTGTGAGTTTATGCAGGTTGTCTTGGAGAAACCTCCCTGAAACTTGCACTGGAGAAGAGGAAAAAAGGACGTTGTGTAGTTTCTTTTTTTTGTTTTTTTTTTTCTTGCAATGCAGTTGATAATCATAGAATATGTTTGCCATCTGTTTTGGGGTTTTATTTTTGTTTGTATTATAGACTGCAAGTACAGTAGTGACCCAGTAAACTTAATTTAAACCTTTATAGAGAATTACAAATGATTATTTTCACAACAGGAGAGGGATCTCTTCCAGTGCACTTATCTGTAAATGAAAAAAAAAAATTAGAAAAATCTGCAAAAATAAGAACGAGTTCAGAGGAGAGAGGTGAAAGAAAAATGCCATAAGTTTAGAAATATGCTGCAAATTAAATAATGGACAAACCTACCTAAAATACCTTGACGTTTAAACCAAATCCTGCATTATAGTTAAATATTGTGTGTTTGAGTGGAAATTGATTTGAAAGATTTGTGTGTTCATTTGTAAAAGTGGCTGCTTGGTTAGAAATCTGGATTGTTCACACCTGGAACTAAGCTGGACACGTTGAAGTATTTTCCTGCTCTTTAAACTCCTCCCTCATGCTGAGTGAAGACAATTCTACGAGCTTCATACCCTGCTTGACTTAATAGAAAGTGTCTGGATGCCGTTTTGTGCAGTAGATTTTTCCCTGGCCTAACCTCTATATCCCGCCATGTCAAGACACCCACAGTAATACTTCGCCCAAACCTTTACATCAATTATCCAAAAATGTGTTTTATTTGTTGAAAATCTACTTGATAGATCACACTACATGTTCATAACTCAAATAGGTTGTTTCCAGAAGCCTCTCAAGCTGTGGTCTTTTAAATAAAAAAGATGAGTAAAGGTCAGATGAGCTGAGCTGGTCTGCTTTAACTGATTTTTGAACTTTTGGGGACTTTGTTTGTTGCAGTATCTTGATGTAATCCTGCTGTTAGTGGTTTGAGAACAACAGTTGAAATGGATATTTGTTGCAGCCTGTCTCACCAAGAGCATTGATTAGCTTGTAGAACCATCACATATTGGTGTGTCTGTAGGGTAGGGAAGGGTTGGGTACGATTCTGCAGCAAATGCATGGGGACGGCCTAGACGTGATGCCAGCTGGGCTAGTTCTGCTTCAGCTAAGCCCACCTCATGGACGCACTGCCACCATTGACCAATGCTTAACCACAGGCCCTTATATGCTGCAACCATTGGTATTAACCACAGCAACTTTGCTACAGAGTTTTCTGGACGCTTCAAACTCTCTATAAACTCTGTGTCTCACATGCACCAAGGGGAGCCCGCTGCTTTCTTTAATACTCCACTGAAAACCTGAGTCCATCCTGCCAAGACCATCCACATCTTTACATCTTCTATAGAAGCTCAACATTTTGTTGTAGTTCCATCCCCCTAGGAGGACTCCTATTGGTCATCCTGACAGCAAATGAGTCTGTGAACCAAGCAGCTTCCTGACAGCAGTTTATGGTCTCTTATATCATCTTAAAAGATTGTGTTGCAAAGGTTTACCTAGAAAATCTGACATCCATAGTACTGGATCAATAATTGTTAAAAACACCCACAAATCTAGCAAAGGACAATCGATAGAGAGGCGGAGCCATAATTAAAGCGTTTGTTCTCCAGAGCTCCTTCAATAGTTAATTACTCTGCCAATTAATTTCTATCTGGGTTTCACCTATGAATAAAATTATAAATATGATTCCTTAAATTTATGTTGTAGGGTAAAATGAACCATCATATTGCTCAGCTTCCAGTATCATTCCAGCAGCATGAAATCCAAACACAGACCTGATTGGCATCATTGTCTCTGTCGAAGGTTAGAATTAACAGGAAAGAAAGAAAGAAGCCATTAAAGTATTGGATTGAACTTAATTCCACTCCAACATGCATCCCTTAAAGTCTGACTAGGTCAGCTTTACATGGATACCATATTGCCATAAACTTTGTACTTGTTTGAAAATGATTTCAGATAACCTAAGAGTTTACTAAGTTATTGAACACTAAATAATCTTTATTTAACTTCTGAAGTTCAATATCATTAGGTAATTCTTAAATAACTTTAATATTTGTGTTTTGCCATCATAGCATTACGGTAATACCATGTATCACTTGGCATGAGGCCAGTATGACCAACTCCGCAGGATAATATGTTACCATTCCCTACTATATGATCTTCAACCGTTTCGATCAACCACATTTACCTTGTTATGGAGATTTCATGAACTGTCAAATTCTTTCATGACATGAAAATGTTTTATGCATAAAATGAGTGGCCAAGTAACCTCACCTCACCAAAACCCCCAAAGATCTCACTAAGTACCCATTGGCCTCAATAAGATCTCACCAAGACCCAAAGATCCGGCTCAGATCCTGCAACCTTCTGCTTTCCGGTTGCCTTTTTTTATTTTTCCAAATAAGATCGTCATCTAACCGAAATAAGTTTTACAGAAAAATATTAAGTAAAACTAATCACTTGCAACTTAACTTAGAAATTAGGAACATTTACAAAGGGGTTCATTAACAGATGTAGTCAAAGCAGAAAAAAATGACTTTTAATGGATCTAATCTTTTTTACTTATGCTTCTGATCTAGAATAATATCCAAAAAAGAATGAATTCAAAGCTCCAAATCCTTTCCTGTAAAAGAGATATATGTTGTATTCCACACAAAACGAAATGGCCAGAAAGGAGAAGTTATCAGAAAGGTTTGTGTCAATGAGCATGATGCCAGTTGGGTCTGAACAGAAAACAAATAGCATCCTATTTTTGTGCTACTCTGACAGATCGGACTGAGCAGCTAGAACTGAATATATTTTTCCCTCTATTCGTCTGTTGTCTGCCAACTTCTTGCCGCCTCCAGTAATTCCCTTGATTTCTTGTCCCCAGGCCTTTCTATCTTCAGTAACGCCAATGTGAAACCTGTGTTTCCCTCATTTGACTCAGTGGAAGTGTGATGTTTACATGTACAGATTTCTGCAAACCTCCCTCGCTGGATTGTTTTACTTTTTTATTTGCCTCCTCTCCTCGGTGTACCCTCCCTCTGCTTCCCCCCTCCTCTATCCATCTCGCCATCCTTTATACTGAAGAGAAAAGTGACTGTGTTAAAAAGACCATAGTCAGCATTTTCCTGAAGACATGCTAAACGTACAGAAACGCCACCCGGTTGAAGCTGACGTCAGCGAGGCATCCTGGTACTGAGGTTGGGTGGGGTTCAAAAGTGTGCTGGTTCGTCTCCGTGAGTGGGTGGGCACACAATCACAGTGGGGCCACAGCGGCCCTCTGCTGGCGTTACCCAGTCCAGAAAAGAGAATGAATTCCTCAGCGAATGATAAGCCATTACAGACCCAGTGTGTCGGGTCTCTTAGTCTATTAGTATATTTAGCAGAAGTTTAAAAAAAAAAACTCAACCTCAGGAAATCATGTTTTTGTAAAAACCAACCCCAATGAAGGCCCATTTCCCTGTCTCTTTGATACCATATAAATTATATCAAAAATTCTTTTTATATTTATTGTGTTAATTATATTTACCAGTTGATACCTTTTCTCTAGTACCTGTGCTTGAATATTTGGATTCTTTAGACAAGTCTTGATAACATACATGAAGGGGGAACAAGACAAAAAATAAAATCTGTTGGGTTCTTCTTTCTGTTAACTCCCTGGGAGAAGTTAGGTTTGCCCAGAAATGCGAACATATCACTCTGGTCCATGAAGAAAAGCAAAACAATGATTAAAAAAGACACTTTACGTTGTGTGATGTCATTGCTAACAATGAAACGTTCCTGGACTTGAAAGATTTGCGACTGTTTAAGTTTGTTCAATTTGTTTTGTTCGGTTTCCTCCTGAGCTGTATGTCACGAAGCTAAATATACTAATAAAACAGTGTGCTAATTATAGAAAAGGCCTGTCTTTTTTTAACAGGAGAACCTGAAGGAAATACCTCTCAACTGCTTGAACAAAATGTTTTGGTGTAACCAAGAAACTGATGTAAAGAATCTACTAAGGAGGATTTAACTTGGGAATCGTGTTGCCACCAGTGCAGAGCTTGCTCAGGAAGAGCCCAAGGCAAGAGTAGTACCTTGAGGCAAATACATTTGGATGTTAAACTGGGGCCCAGATGAGCAAAGATACCTTTATTTTTTTTTTTTAATCTGTTTTAGACAGCCTTAAATCCTGCAGGAGGTACAGGGATCGGAGTTCTAAACATGGAGTTAGGTTGCAATATGCTGGTGAAGAGTCTCAGTCATCCAGGTCATAGTCATTCCAAAAAAGTAAAAAAAAAAAAACAATTCACTTCACTTTGTTTCCAAGTTTGAAGACATGTCGCTTCTCATCTAGGAAGCTTTTCAATTCAAAATGTCAGAAATAACATTGAGTTTGAGGCTTTATAGAGTGGACCAAAAACAAAGCCTGGTTCTGGCTCAGAAAACGGGGGGTTTGAGAGGGGCGTGAAGGAAGCCATCTATGTTAAGAAAAAGCAACCTTAAACAGAGGGGTGGACTCAGGTTTCACCTTTCAGAAACCTACAATTCAGCGATAGAGTTAATTCCTTCCCGCTATCATCGCAAACCCCGTCCCCATCAGGGGCGAAGCTAAATGGGGGGGCCAGGGGTGGCCATGGCCGCCCTTACCCAATCATTGGCCACCCCTACCATTTTTTCCCTCTGATACAGATGGTGGCAACAGTAATACTCTCAAGTGGAATATTCAAAACATTTACATTTTTTGTGGCTAATTATATACATCAATAGCATCAAAGATGATAAATACAGATTTCATGCTCTTTTCAGAACTAGATTTTGTGTTATATGGGGTAGCGAAAGTTTCTCTGCAAGTCATCTGGGAGTCTACATTGAAGTAGATAAAAACTATTTTAATACAAATTTCATGTAGATATTCGTGCTTTTAAATATCAATTTTATGTAGAATTGATACAAGAAGGTAAGTAATGACAATGGAAAAGATTTACGCCCCAGAACTCAAACCTGAAAGAGTTTTATCCACTATACCTTTTATTTAGAAAGCACGGATGTTTAAATATATGCATCTACTTGTTAGCAAAGGCTGTAGGAAAGTATAGTTTCTCTTTATTTAGAAAAGATGGATGCTTTGCTTGTTAATTTTCCTGTTGGAACAGTGTTTTTATGACCCTTAGTTTCTGGCGCCTATCTGCTTTCGGCCCCCCCTCAGTGTACATACCCTCATAAAAATTTTCTGGCTACGCCTCTGGTCCCCATACAGGAGAACAGAACACCTCATCTGTTCTCCCAGGGCAACAAGTCCCTTTTGCGAACCCCTTTCAGAGACATAGACAGGTATCGGGTATTACAGGCTAACATAGAAACAAAATGGCCCCCATTCGAAAGGGGTGGACCCATTCGTTTGGTTCAATTTGCATGTTTTCTAAACCAAAACAAGGCTTTTCTTTGGTCCAAATAAAACCTCAGACTCAACACTATTTCTAACATTTTCAGTTGAAAAAGCTTCCTGGATGGGAAGCTAAACGTCTCCAATGGAGTGGTTTTTCTTTTACTATTTTGGCTGCAGTTAGGTTCTCCTCTAATTAAGGTTGCGTTGGACATCTGGGAAATAAATCAGTGGAAGAAAAAACCAACAGCAGCATCATGGAAACCAGGATCTCATTGGCTCTAACGTCCCCCAACAGCAGCATTGCATAATGATCTAGGGCGGAGGTCTTCAACAGGGGGTCCGTGACCCCTAGGGGGTCCGCAGAGGTACTGCATGGGGGTCGCGAAAGTTTTGGTTGATTAGACTTTTTTTTTATATTCCCCCCTGCAATTTTTTCCACTAATTGAAATGTCTTTAAATCCACATTAACATGAATTCAACACACCGTAGTAAACATAAATGGAGGCAGAAGATGTCTTTCAGTCATCAATGCACACATTCAGCGACACACAGGAGCTCTTTCAAGCTGGACACCGTTTCATTCACAACACCTGTCCCATCAACCAGGAATCAGAATCAGAAATACTTTTATAATCCCGGGAAGGAATTACTTTCATTACATGACTCTATATGTAATAGAGGGACTATAGGAGCAGTTTGATATAACACATTTTTGGGGGTCCCCGCTCCATCTCACCACCAGTTTGGGGGTCCTTGGCCTGGAAAACGTTGAAGACCCCTGATCTAGGGGGATTTTGGTGAAGCTCTTTCTAGCTTGATAGACCAAACTTCACATATAATACTAAAGATTATCCATTAAAACATAACCCACTGTCCATAAAAGTAGGCTTTTGTTAGTTGAAGTAGAAACGTCTTAACTTAGGTGGTCTGTATTATTAAACGTGAATGTTTGAAATAAAAAGTGTAATTAACAATTTAATTAGACAGAAAAATACAGTTTAATTCAAAGATTATTCATTTGTTTAGGAAGCAGAATTGCAGCAGTTTAGTCTTTAAATCTTGTTTTCCTAATATTAAAGGACAGGGTGGAGCACATCAGTTGATATGACACTCCTTTATTTACTGAACTGACTAAACAGAAACGTTTCCTGAGAGGAGAAAAAATAAAGACTGTTACTTTCACCCCACCCTGCCTGCTGCACCTCCTCCTCCTCCTCCTCCTCCTCCTGCTCCTGCGCAGGTGTGTGTTGGAGAGGCCGGGCCGTGAGCGCAGCGCCAAACCCAAACCTTTTTACGCAGCCTTCGTCCTGCAGCGTCACCTCTGCACTTCCACACCTGAGCATCAGCGGCTGCAGCGGCGCTCCTGCTGTCCTCCCGGCCTGAGATGGATTGATCTCCCCCCAGGGAGCCATGCTTCATCCCGCTGATCATTTAGGATCGCGGTACCGAGTCCTTGCAGGGAACCTTGCCGTCTTGAAAGGACCAGATTTCCGCATTCCCGCAGCCGCCGTGCGCACTGCGGGCGCGGAGCTCAGATCCATGATCTCAACAGAAAAGAAAACCGGTTCCTCCAGCTCTTCTGCCCATCCTTCGCTGGTCCTTCTTGGTTGTTTTCACCGGCAGAGGCGGACAGACCTGCTGCTGACAGGGTGTCCTCGGCCGGCTTTGGTTCTCCTTTAACGCCTGCTTCATGTCCCAGGATGGAGGACTGCTGCCGCTCCTGCTGTCCCTGCCTGAACCGGCTCTGGAACCGGATCTGGCCAGACATCCGCTACCCTCCGGTTCCCAATCTGGTCATCGCCAACCCGGCGGCCCATCCGGCAGAGATCCGCACCATTTCTGGTGACATCCGCGCCCCGTCGCCCAAGAAGCGGCCGGTGCAGCTGTACGCGGCGCTCTTCGACTTCCAGGCCCGGAGCGACGACGAGCTGACGGTGAAGGAGGGGGACAAGCTGTCGGTGATCGAGAAGAGAGGAGACTACGTGCTGGCCAAGAAGCTGACCGGCTCTCCGCAGTCCGGACTCATCCCGGCCAACTACGTGGCTCTGCTGCAGGACGAGTTCGCCAAACACAAGTGAGTCCTCCCAGCACACCTGATTCCTCATTATTACACAAGGACATCAGATTATTGGTGTGTAATCTCTCCTCTCACCTGATGGATGATTCTCAGCGAGTTAAAGACTTCAGACTGAAGGTGGAGGGCATTTTCTGACAGTTGAAATAGATTCTGTGGTTCTGGAGAATCATAATCACCTGAGAGTCAATGGGAACAAAGTGACAGTGACCCAGATTTGACCTTTCTACTCTCAGAGAGCTGTTGACGTTCAAATAGCACTGAGGGGGAAAATAATCCGGGAGAAACTCAAAAGTTTGCTTTGGTTTCAGAAGGTTTGCATAAGAAATGCACCAAATAACCAGACATAGGGGCCAATTTTTCCTCCAACTGTGATAAAAAAAAAAAAGGAAAATTTAAATTTTACGCCCTAAACCATGAAATGCATAAAAAAAAAAATAATTTTAATAACTAAAGACTTGTTAAAGGGTGTTATCCCCAGAATAATTTGGTTTTACCCAAATTAATGCAAGAAACTGATTTTTTTTGTTTTGTTTTTTTAAACCAACAATAAAGCACAAAATTCTAATCTAAGAAAGCTTATTACTATAATGCACAACTTCTCAAATGCTCTGATTAAAACAACATTATTTGTTGCCCTCGGGTCTTTTAAGTTGGGGTGTCATTAAAAACAATGTTTAAAAACACAGCCCAAAGTTCAAAAAGCCTGGAGGGTTTGTGAAATAAAAAACGAGACAAAGCATATTGAGATGATCTCACATTTTAATTGTTAATGCCGTGGTTCTCAATCCTCATTCTTAGGGCTCTCTGTCCTGCATGTTTTAGTTATGTTCCTGCCAACATGCCTGATTTGAATTATAAAGTGACTTACTGTCCAGTTGAATCAGGTGTTCTGCAGGAAAGACGCACCTAAAGCATGAAGGACAGTGAGCAACGGTGGTTTAGACTCTCCATGTTACTGGTTTTAGAAACAAAGAGCTGCAGGAAAATAGAAGACAGCTGGTCCTGCGGGGGATATATTTGCATTTTATGCTGCTCTTCACTTCTGAGATGGCTTCAGGGTAAAACAGATTATGATCCTTTGCTTCAACAGAAGTTGATCAAATCTGGCTTTAAGTGTGAGGTCTTATTTAGTCAGACTTTGCCTTCAGGGAGACTTTCTGTCTGCAGCTTTGAACCCCCCTGGATGAGTCCATTCTGCACTACATGAACACTGATTATCTCAGCTTAGCAGCAGAAAGGCTCTGCTGAGATTATTGCTGCTGGGAGTCTTGGCCAACTTCAAGCTTGGATTTGGTGCCTGTTCTCTAAGTCATCTTCCTTTTTTAATAAAGTACCAGTAGTCCCAACCTGACTACTCTCAGCAGTACAGCTGATAATGATGATAACCATGCATGTTATGGATGCCAGTAAAGTTTCTTTTGTTTGTGCAGCAGCCATGTTTCATCAGAATTCAGGGATCCTCAGTGGAAACAGATTGTTCTTTTTTTTAGCCACTTTAATAAAACATTCAGACTATTTCCCTTCATTTTCTAGAACTCAGATAGCAACCTTTTCAGCATTCAGCCTCTATCATGAGCACAAAGGGCAGTGAGCGTTTGTACCAGCGCCCTACAGGTTTACAGCTATCAGAACGTGAATTAATTGCTCTGCAGAGTATCTAATCCCTTCATTTATTACTGCAGCCTGATAAAATTATTACTCCACATTAGACTTTTTAAATACTGTCTTTCTTAATCTGAGTTAATCCAGGACTTCTTCAGACAGCAGTTATTTCTCTCCAATCGATTCATTTCCTGTTGAGACAAAAAAAAAGAATTTTTTTTCCTATCTTTTGACATTAAACGCTGAGTCTTCATGTTTTAGGCCGGGTTCTATATCCATCTGTTAATTGAACCCATAATAAATGTATAAACCAGAGATGATTATAGTTATTGATTAAATATGAAGCAAGACATGTGATTGGAGAATGCTTTAAAAAAATACTTCCATGGGTTTGGATTTCATCTCACTCTGATGTCACGGTGTATAAAGTCAACATTTGGGCCACAAAAAGTGGCAAATCAAATATATTTTGCATTTAGATCTGTTTGACAATAAAATAGATCTGCAACAATTTAAGAAGGTGAAAAATACTACGCTTTTGGTAGAAAATTAATCTCTATGTACATTTTTTTGAAAATAAAAAGGATCTCTTATTTTTTAATATATAGTTTATTTAGATTCACTTTTTTTTTTAACTGGCCACAACAACAAAAATTTAACCTCTTAAAAGGCACAGATGAAATCAACTGCTGTTTTTTTTACCTTTGGTGGGTCTAGCCTACCAAATAAAAGCGTCGTCAAGGTGGACAGTAGCCTTATTGCGGCAGGATGAGGCTGCAAATTTTGAGTCCCACCGATGGGACGTGATTAAGATTGAATTGGTTTTATCAGAAACAATTCAAGCATGGTAACATTTATAATATTGTTTAAACAATAAATAAGAATTTTAAGTGTTACCTGAACTCCGGTACCAAAAGTCTGCTCCAAGATGGAAGATAGCAGGTTAAATCTTCGCTGTCAGCCCCTCAATCCTCCTGCTTAATGCTAATAATCTTAAACCACCCTGCAGCTGGATGTTAAAAACGTTGACACTTTGAACATAAACTGTTAAGAAGTAAATTGTGCATCAAATGTTTTAACCTAAAGAGGTCAGTGGAAGAGTTGTCCTCGCAGTCAGACGAAAAAAAAAAAAAACTTGGGAATGCAGAAGTGGCAGATTAATCAAAGTGAAGATGTTGGGATGTTTCTAGACTCTCAAGAAAAAAAAAAAGTTTTTGCTTCTCAAGTGTACAATATCGATAAAAATAAAAGTTTTGGTACAGTAACCAATCAACCATTGGTTAGAAATTGAGGCGATCAAAACAATTAGTCCAAAAACAAATCAGGAAATGTTTATATTCAATTGAGATGATTAAATTAGGAAGCTTTTAATGTTGATCTGCTGATTTTACAGTTAATTTGAATCGGTTTTATACCATGATCATCCTACAACGGCATCTTCCTGTGAAGCTGGACTGCAGCTGAAATTAGCTGAGAGCATGCATGCTTCCAGCGCCCTGCAGCTGTGGCTCCTCCATTATTTATCCCGCCTGCATGCAGTCATCATGTTTCAGCAAAACTCTTTAAGGTCAACTCCTGTTCACACTGCAAACCCAACACACAATCCTGGGATAGCAAACACAACTGTTCCCACTGTGGAAAAAACAACAGGAGATGTTTGTGTCAGACACTGGAGCAAATGGAGCTTATAAGAAAAACTCAAATTTTTATACATATTTTTGAAAGAAGATTCAAATATTCAGCAAAACCTCTTCATGAAAAGGATTTTCAGTGAAAATAAACGGAATCATAGGTATTTTAGCATTTAACGTACTTTTTTATAGATTTTTTTATATACACGTGTATTTTTTGTGCATTAGACTAATTTACAGCTGATTTTACATCTTAAATGAGGCCATAGTCTCCTGGCTTTGTCTCCTCTATAGCTCCTGCTAACAGGGCAGATGAGGCGGCCTTCAGAATAGAACAACACAGGAAGGCTGAGACTGACAATGATGATGATAGTCAAGGGAGATAGATTATGGTTGGTAATCAAGGTAGAGGGCTAACTGCTGCAGAGAGATGTGCTCTGGTCTTCCCTCTACCGCAGGGGTGGACAATTCCAGCTCCTAGGGGCCACTATCCTGCAACTTTTAGATGTGTCCTTGGTCCAAAACACCCGAATCAAGTAAATAGATGATTAAGAGGACTGAAGAAACTGACAGCATACTGAGGTGGTAATTAAGCCATTTGATTCAGGTGTGTTTGACCAAAGACACATCTAAAAGCTGCAGGATACTGGCCCTCGGGAACTGGAATTGCCCACCCCTGCTCTACCACCATGCTGCAGGACAAAGGGTCTTAACTGACCTGGTAGGTACTGTGGAAATCAGTGACATCCTGTATGTTCAGATCATAGCTTTCATGAAAACTGTCCACAAACAAGCAGTTTCCTTCATGTTGAGGTGGAGTTCTGGGGACCAAAGCTGGGATCCGGATGGACATAAATCCTTCAACAAGGAAAATCACAAATACATAAAATACCTTTTGGTTCTAATCTGATGATTAAACACACAAAAGATCACAGAAAACAAATAGGTCTGGTTTGGTGACGTCCATAGCAAACTGGTTCCAAAGCCAGAGTTTGTACTCAGTCTTTTAAACTTTCAACTAAAACTGACTGGATGATCTCAGAAGCCTGTCAGCAAACAAAATTAAACATTTCAGACAAATAAAGAGGTGTGAGACTGTTAAAAGCTGAATAAACCAACAGTTAAAGGTTAAACCCAATTCTAACAAACAAGAAATTAAGAATATGAAACAAGTCAAGGTTAAGTATAATATTTAACGTTTATCATAGTTGTTTTAATTCACGGCTGGTATTTTAGAGATTGTGTTTCTCATATTCTCAGCATTTTATCTAAGATCTGCGATTCTGGGCTGATGGCATGTTGTTGGTTTCTGTGAAACCCGAGCATTGCAGAGAGCAGACCCACCCACCCGGATAACTCAGGGTAAATAAAGAGCAGCTTCTGAAATCTGAGCAAACAGGCTGAACTCAGTGAAAAGGTACAACTGCTGGGTTTTATTTCTCTGACCTTCCAAGGGAAATGTTTCACACTTTATACAGAACCCAGCTAAACACAAACACCTTTTTAAAATGGTTTTGTTCCAACTGACTCAATCAACGAGGAAAAAACCTCCTCTGTCTGGTTTCAGGGTGGAGAAAGTCACGATGTGCATCTTCTAGATTATCTGCATTTATCCTTTCAGTTTCTGTTTGTCCTGCCTTCCTATGAGGAAGGAAACATTTTTACCCTCCTCATGTCTGATTTTTAAACATTTTTTATTCATAGACGTATTTTCATATGTCTCTTCATCCTCTCTCCCCTTCATCCCCTGTCCTCCCTGTCTAGGTGGTACTATGGGAACATCAACCGTGTGAAAGCTGAGAAGCTGCTTCTCGCTTCCCAAAACAAAGATGGAGCGTTCCTGGTCCGCATCAGTGAGAGTCACAGTGATGAATACACAATATCTGGTGAGTGTCTCCAGATGCCTCAGTATGCATCTATGCATTTACAAACTCACGTTTTTAAACAGATTTACATTTCATCTCTACAAAGTTTTATTATATATAATTATTTAGTTTGCCCTCTTATCGTCCCCATTTCCCCCTGCATTAATCTGAGCCTCGCTCTCTGTACTTAAAGCTTTCACTTAGAGGCTTTTATTTTGTAAACTAACATGACAAACCAAAGGGCTGTTCAATAACAAGAACTAGCAGAGGACAGAAAATGAAATAATTAAACCCGCAGAGGTTAAAAGAATGAATGCTGATGGAAATGACTAGAATAATAAGAGTCAAAATTCATAAACTAAATTCAACCATTAAAAACGGTTGAAGAGAGTTTCACTGACATGTAGTGGTATGTTTCGGACCTGCTTGAACAAAGGTTCTGTCTCCTCTAAACTGAATCCAGAGAGAGCTGTCGGACATTTGGCTGCAGCAGATCAGATGTAAGAGGGAAAAATCCTGACTAAGAAACAGAATGATTTTAAGATGTACATCATCCTCATAAGTCTTCAGATGACTAAGGATCAATCGTTATGGCTGTTGTTGCTCATTGGTAATCCAGATTCAGTGGTTTCCATGAACTTCTTGATCCACTGTGCGAAGGTTCTGCTTATAAGGCTGAATTTTCTTTAAAGAGACTAAATAAGTCTCTGGGGAGAGACAAAACATTTAAAGAAAGAGGAAACGTCCTGGACGACTGACTCAACTTTTTGTTGTTGTTTTTTTTACCTGGATGCATCAGGGTGTTAATTTTACAGTCATCAGCATAAAAAGGAATCTGAATCTTTCTGACCTTTTCCTGTTGAATTAAAGATGGAATTTTAGTTCATACATTTTAGATATTTTCTTTACTTTCGATGTGAATAACCTTCTGCAAACAAGGTGCAGGGGGTTTAATTTATCTGCCAAGTTACCTTCTCTCATATTCTCCATAATGGATCACCATTATCCAGCTTTTTATTTTCCCATCATAGAGTTTATTTACATGCTATCATTGTCCACCTAGAGTCGTGTAAAATCATTAGAGCAACCTATTAAATATTTTGTTCATTTAAACAGAGGAGAATACTCTCTAACTGAGGAAAGTATTAGGGTCTGTTGCATATTCCGCTTGTTTTAAGTCATCACAGTGAGATCAACATCTTGGCTTGACTATGTCCTAAAGTTTCCATTTATATTCTTTGTCAGTCTTTGGTGGCTTTACTCAAATATTCTGGATTGTTTTCATGTTCCAGATCTAAGTTTTATAAAGATGATCTAAGATTTTCCTCAAGCAACCCATGGTAGAGAGTAGAATGTGATGGTGAGCTGGTCATGTCCTCCGACATCCCCAAATCATGATCCTTTACCTTTATGCTCGGTGGGATGTATGAGATCCTTCTCCACGAAAGCTGCATTTGATTCGATCAAACATTTCCACTGTTTTGGTATCTGAATTATTTATCTTTAGACAACCCCACCCAGGACACAGACCTTTTGTCCACCTCTTGTAGTCTAAGTGGCTGATTTGAAATTACTTTAAAATGTTTTACTAGACTCAAATGTCTCCTTTCCGAGGTTCTTTTAAGGGGTGCACCGATTGCAGGTTTCTGACCAATCACCAATTCCTGATCTTTAAAAAAACCCTGACATGCCGATACCGATTTAGATCAATACAGGTTTTTTTTTTTTTTATAACTGCCACTTTCAGTTGTTATAAGATCACAAAACACTTAAAATATTTCAATCTTATCTTCCTGAAAGGCATTAATCAGTTGGTGCACCCTCAGTTATTTTAATCTTATTTAATCTCACAACGGTGTTTTATTCTCACTTCAACAACCAGGAGCAACCATGTTAAACACTTGAAAGGGTTTTTAAGTAGATTAATGATGATTTCAAGTTGAAATATTAAGGATTAAAAATCCTTAATTTATATCTTACCAGAAATTGTGTTTTAATTCATATTACAAAATACTTTTTTGTTATATTTTCTTCCGTTTTTGTTGTATTTACTGAATATTTCAGTATTTCCTAACTGTCTAAATACATTAGGAAAAAGAAGTCTCTTATAAGCTGTCCACAGTTTTTCTCATGATTGTTTTTTCCACAATTTTAATGTGGTCTAATGCTACGTTCACAGCGGACGCAGCAAGAGCAGCAAAATCGCGTCTGCTGCTTCATTTTTGCTGCTTGTACCAGTTAGTTCTGACGCGCGGCTGAAGCATCTTTGCTGCTCTGGCTGCGCGGTGCAAAAGTGTGTCTGACGCGCGTTGGGCGGAGCTTCACTATCCTTTCTCTGCCTTGCAGCTATATTTGCTGTGATCAGTGGGAATAAAGTAGTTTTGATACGTTTTAAAGTGAGAAAATCCACCTGAAAACTTAATCATTGCAGTCAGTTCATCCAGATTACAATCCCGCCTTCCAATATTATTTATGTTGGAGCCACTCAGACCCCCACATACCAGCGATGCGCTGTCAGTAGGAATCCCATTCAACAGCAGCCTGTGGCTGGGTTGCCTCCTCGCGGTTCACCGCGGCAGCTGGTAGGTGTTTTTCATCTAAATAATCCAAACTGCAGGCAGCAGGATAATAAAAGCCAACATATTCTGCCAGCAGATTTCTGCATTTTAAGTTAATTTAGGCGTCAATAAACTGTTTCAGAGGAGTGATCACAGCGCTCTGTGTCATCAGCGATGTGTCTGTCTCACGGCCAGCTCCCAGATCAGCTTCTCTGATTGGTTGAGGCGGCGCGTCCAGCAACAAAAGTTCATTTTTCAGCCATTGACTTTGCATGTAAACTCGCTTCTTCTGCCGCGCCTGCTGCGTGCGGTGTGAATGTAGCATAAAGGGGGTCTGTTGAAGTTTAGATGAAACTTTTTTTCTTTTTCTGACTCCATGTTTTAGCACCAGTCTCCAATGAACACATTTAGAGACACAATGATATGAACATGTCTGATTAGGCCTCTATAAATACAACCGCACTAATTGTTATCAATGTGTTGCAGCCCGAAGTGAGGGGAAAATATTCCACTTCAGGATCCAGCGCTCTGTGATCGGAGCTTATTTTATCTCAGATAAGATCTCTTTCGCCACCCTGGGTGAGCTGATCTCTCACTACCAGAAGAACCCACGCAGCCTGGGAGTGAACTTGATGGAGCCATGTGCCCAGCAGGTAAGACCCTCTGATATTTACACCAAACTGTCAACCTCCATTCTGCTCATAGGAAAGACCTGGATTAGTCTGAGGATAATAAATGTGTCATTGTTGCTTACTCATTTGGTTTTATTTTAGGGGTTTATCTTAAGTTATTTAATTAAATTATCATATATATTGTATTTATTTGCTTAATTTCTTAAAACTGTTTTATTATACTTACAGAGATTTTTATTCCCTTTATCTAATTTAATGAAAACTGATCTTTCTTGTATTTTTTTCTTACGGTAATATTTTGTTCTTGTTTTTAAAATTTCATTTCAGTAGGTTTATTTAAGTAAAATTTATAAGTTATCTTTTTTTAAGTTGACATATTAAATCCATTTTCAGGTATTATTTCACTTCACTTTCTCTCCAAACTGCTCAGTGCATTTAAAATGATCTCTAAATGCAGCATATTTGGACAAAATTCACAAGAAAAATTATATTTAAATTAGAAGAAATAAACCCAGTTACAGGCAAGGTTTGGGCTCACTTGCTTATTTTGATTGTAATGAATAAGTCTTATTTTTATGCAAATCATTTTTGTTCAGAAGTGTTTTGAAGTGTTTTCTCTGCATTTGATATCAGATTAAGACCCAATTTTGCAGATCAAAGTCATATCTGATAAAAATATATATTTTTTTTATATTTCGAATGTAGATGTTCCCCTTTTTATATATTTAGTTATGACACACAACCATGATATGTCTTAACACCTTGAATTGAACAAATATAATTCACATTAATATATTAATAATCTTCAAACAATCCACAACCGCATTCAGATTATTCATGCATGCAAATAGCTGCAAGGGCTAAAAAAACAAAGGTTGCATTTCAGGATAATAATGTATGGCAGTCAGAGACGCTCAGCGTTCTTGAGGATCTGCATCAGCAAACAAATTTAGCTGCGTCTTACATTCAGAACATCTGTGCAAACATCTGTAAAACACCAGGTCCATCCGTTTAGAAACCTGATGGAATCTGGGTTGAGGGAACAGGAGAGAAACCATCATTTAGACAAATAAAACTCTCCTTCCTTTCATAAGATCATTAGACGGTCAGAACAAACTGTTGTTTCGGGGTTTGTGTTGCTCGAGTACTGAGCTGATTGAGCCTTAGAATAGCAGGAATAAGAAAGTCTGTTTGATATGATTTCTGTTGCTATTTTGGGGTTTAAATGTAGTTGGACCTCTTCTCTACTCCATGTAGCCCCACAGGATATTTTCATATCATTTCTTCTTCCGATTCAGACCCTTAATTTGTTTTCCCTCTTCTTCTACTTCAATGCCTTCAGAATACAAACAAATCTCTCCAGGATCCAGATAAACTCTGCAGTAATAACCACGCCAGATTACAGCTTCAGGGTTGGTTTCATGGTTATAGAATAGAATAAAATAAAATAGAATAGAATAGAATAAAATAGAATAGAATAGAATAGAAGCTTATTGATCTCACAATGGTGAGATTCCCTGGTGGCATCAGCTCTTATAAACAAACAGAAGGTTCACAAAGGAGGAAAAAGTGCATGAAATGTATACAGTGCATCCAGATATATACAGTGGATGATAAAAAATAAGGAAGGAGAGACTTAAAGTGACTTTTATATATACAATATCTTTTGTATAGTAAAGTGGTGGCAGGTAAAGTGCGTTTTTTTAGATAAATAGTATAAGTTATTGCAGTGTTATTACTCCAGCTTGTAGTGCAGTGGCATTGTAATGTCTGATGGCAGCAGGGGATGAATAACCTGCAGTAGCGCTAATTTTTACACAAGGGGTGTATAAGTCTGTAACTAAAGGAGCTGCTGAGCTCCTCTACAGTTATCCTCTCCACAAGCCAGACTGTGGCAGATTTAAAATCATTTTAAAGGCTTGGTGTGAACACAGAATCAATCTGGAAAGACTGAAACACTTTTTTTAAAGGGTTTCTTGGAAAAGAAAGCAGCATCCAGGACCATTGTTTGCAATAATCCATCTGATTAGACGAAAAGTCCACAGAGAAAAACATAAGGCTGTGTGTCCTCATGGGACATCACCAGAACCTTCAATGATTTCAGCAGAAACAAAAAAATCTGCAAACTTCAGTGAATCATACAAAATGAAAGAAAATGTCATATTGGAATAAGCTAGGTTAAACTATCATGAATATCTTGGTTAGGCTTACATGCATCATTAAATAGGATAAAACATGCAGAGCAGTTTGAGCATAAATGTTAAGACGTCGTCATTACGCAGCTATTTCTGCTCTGCAGCTATTTTAAACTCCCAGCAAGCTGCTTTCTGTGTTCATGGCTCATCAGTTCGGACCCAGCGGGAACCGACTGCACAGAACCAGGCAGCGTTCCCCAATATCTGCTGGCTTTTTTTCTAAGCAGAATGGAAAGCATGATTACTTACCCATCATCTGCTCAGAAATCCGACTTTGAGGCAAACAAATTTAAAAGATAAATAAAAATGTGTCAGAGTCAACATGTCGTTCATCGAAGAACAATCGGTGATTCCTCCCTCTTCTCTCTTCCCTTCCAGCGGAAGCGGAAGCTGTGAGTCTGAGGCCGTGGACACTGAAGCCGAAACCCCCTAATGCACGCACGTAAACGCATTATATGCAAATATGATCCTTCATACAGAGACTCTTTGCACAATCAGGGTACTCTCCAAAGTGGAAAATACTTTTAAAAAATTTTATTCAAGATGAGATGAGCTTGATCTGAAGGGACTTTCAGCCTCGGCTCTCTTCATTCTTTGCTCCATTCTTTGTTGCATGTCAGCTGCATGTGCTGAGCTGGTTTGACCGCTTTTAAAAGAGCACAGCTGAGGAATGTTGACACACGGTACATACAGGGAATACCATCAGCACCTGCATCGTTCCTGTTTGCTTGAGTTAAAACAGGCCTAAGGAAACATTTCCAAACCATCAGTTATTAAGTTCTTTACTGCAGCGCAAACACTGACATCAGATCACACTGAACTTCTCCTGGTTTAGGTCTGTTAGGGTTTCTAATGTCTGTCACAGCCTTCTGTTCCACAACAAAAAAAACAACATTTCCAACAAAGACCGTGGGTGGCAACAAGCGGTTTTTGGCTTTGCACGCACTTCTGACTTAACTTATTTATTGTAAAAGGAGAGACAAAATAATTACTAAAAGTGTCTTGCAACTTAGTCGTAACCAAAAATAAGAAAACAAAAAATAATGTTTAAATTGAACGTTTGAAGCTCTGAAAAAGTGGCAAAAATCTTTTTTTTACAAAGCCTCCTCCACCTGGTGTGTTCTTAATTACTCTAATTAATGAGAGGGTCTAACAAGTAACAATGTAATCTAAACAATTTGAAATATAAAAAATGAATTACAAATGTTGGTCCTAAATTAAATGAAATATATTCTAACTACCCAAAGACGAAAACAACAAATTGACAAAAACAAAAATGACAAAAAATTAGCATAAATGGCCACAACAATATCATTTCTTTGCCACATGCCAGAATAATAGGAGGAAAATCATTTCAGAGAATTATTTTATTTTAAAATCTTGTTCTTTAAAGCCAGAAACTTCCAAGATTTAGGATATATGACATCTAGTACCTGGAAATGTTTCTCACTATCCTAACTGACTTAACCTGAGAACATTCAGTTCGATTTGATGTCAAACATTAAAGAACATAAAACATCATATTATTTTTTTTATTAGTGTGTATTTTCTAGAATCAACTGTACATCAGCACTTCATTATAATCTGAGTTTTTTTTCTTGTTTTCCTTTCTCCATAAGAAATATCCACTTTAAAAAAAGAATGTTTTTTATTTCTATATTTAATGATTTTTTCTGTTTCATTTCAAAACATTTATTTATTTAAAAGTAGAATGATTTGTTTGAAATCTCTGCTTCTCAGTATGATTTCTTTGGTGTGATATTTTTTTGATGCATGTTGTTTAAGACTGAATACTGACGCTACCTAAACAAATGTTTTTTAATAATTTTCGCTCCATTTAATTATTTATTTTATCAAAATTTTAGCAAAATTTCAGTTTTTTCACTTCATTTCTCATTAATTACATTTTTCTCACTTTTCTTTTTGTCATATTTGTTTCAAGTAAAATTTTTGTATTTCTCACAGACAAAATCTTATTAAATACTAAAAGCAGTTTTCAAATGAGGATTTTTATCTATGGGGCGGAAGATAAAAAAAGGAGAAATACAAGAAATCTGCGGGGAAGTCAAACATTTTAAAGCACTAAACGTATCGTACATTCTTAGTTCTTTGTTTTACAACACCATCAGCAATCAAATGAATTTTTTTATTTTTTTTTTTTACTTTTTTAATAAACTTTTCTGTAGATGTGGAGGACTGAACAGGTCACTGAACTGGGTTGAATGAATTTAATGTAGCAAACATGGTTTAAAGATTAGAGGGGAAGTAAAGATCTGTCTTAACCTTTTTAAGTTGCTTTTATTTCTTACCTTTTGAAAGTNGGAAAAGACTGGAAGGGCAAACACAAACTGTAGTTCAATAGAAATAAGGATCATATGAACCTTCTATTCAAAATGGAGGTCTGAACGTGTCATCAGTTGGAGAATTATAGGTTCATGTTAGCTACAATAAAAATTTTGTAAAATAGTTCAACCCTTTATGTGAAAATTAAAAGAATATAACAAACCTAATTTTCTCCATTACCCATTTGTGTTAATATAGCTTTACAGAAGAGATGAACCAACTTAGTAATAAACATATAAGGAAAAGTAAGAATGTGAAACAAGTATATTCTATCAGTGAAAAACAATGAATGGCACTAAATCTTCATTTCCTTGTCATCAGGGTTCAAAGACTTTGCTGTTTATCTTTACAGTTTCTGTGACCTTGACTTTGTCTGAAGCGTGAAGGAAAAACAAAAAGTCCCTGTTTATTTCGGAGAATTATTTTAAAATCTTTTTCTTTAAAGCCAGAAACTTCCAAGATTTAGGATATATGACATCTAGTACTTGGAAATGTTTCTCACTATCCTAACTGACTTAAACTGAGAACATTCAGTCTGATTAAATGTCAAACATTAAAGAACATAAAAAAATCATGTTATTTCTTTTTATTAGTGTGCATTTTTCTACAATCTACTGTACATCCAGCACCTGATTATAATCTGAGTTTTTTTTTCTTGTTTTCCTTTTCTCCATAAGAAATATCCACCTTAAAAAAATGTTTTTTATTTCAATATTTTTTCTGTTTCATTTCAAAACATTTATTTATTTAAAAGTAGAATGATTTGTTTGAAATCTCTGCTTCTCAGTACGATTTCTTTGGTGTGATATTTTTTTGATGCATGTTGTTTAAGACTGAATACTGACGCTACCTAAACAAATGTTCTTAATAATTTTCACTCCATTTAATTATTTATTTGATCTAAAAGTGCAAAATTTCAGTTTTTTCACTTCATTTCTCATTAATTACATTTTTCTCACTTTTCTTTTTGTCATATTTCTTTCAAGTAATATTTTTGTATTTCTCACAGACAAAATCTTATTAAATACTAAAAGCAGTTTTCAAATGAAGATTTTTATCTTTGGGGCGGAAGATAAAAAAAGGAGAAATACAAGAAATCTGCGGGGAAGTCAAACATTTTAAAGCACTAAACGTATCATACATTCTTAGTTCTTTGTTTTACAACACCATCAGCAATCAAATGAATTTTTTTTTTTTTTTTTTTTTTTTACTTTTTTAAACAACTTCTCTTTAGTTTTCGAGGACTGATCAGGTCACTGAACTGGGTTGAATAAATTTAATGTAGCAAACATGGTTTAAAGATTAGAGGGGAAGTAAAGATCTGTCTTAACCTTTTTAAGTTGCTTTTATTTCTTACCTTTTGAAAGTAGTGATCTACTGATTTATTATAAAGCATTTTTTAGGCCCCACCTGTCCTGGTCTTTGTTATGTAATATAATTTTTTTTAGTGGAGTGTTATCCTCCTCCCACGCTGGGCTCCCGTTGTGCTTGTTGTGTTTATTGGCCTGCTAACATGCAGACAAACAGTCTGTTGCCCTTAAATCAGTTTAGCAGCTGAACGCTCACACAACAAGTTCAAAATATCAAATGAGTTTATAGTTTTACCGGCTGAGAGTTCAGTTTTTTCCTCATATGAGGCTGGAGTTCAGGATCTGAGCCGTTTTTAGCCGTGAACGTTTGTCTTCAATCAGAAATTCTTACATTAGCTCATTGGTTCTCATCCCATTTCTGGCTTTACTGACAGATTTCTTTGTTAATTTGTCTTTGGTTTAAATGTTTGATGATTCTATTGACATCTGTTGAAACTTATCGCTGAAGTAATCTGAAATAATCATGAAGTTTCAAATAATTGTCCTTAATTTCAATCCAAATATTGTTTTCAGTTTTGATTTTTACTGTTTTATATTTAAAATCAGCAACCTGTGTCTTTACTATTTATAATCAAAGATATATATATATTGATCTATGTTTGAAGCATTTGTTTAAAACATTTTTTTTTTATCACAATAAATGTTTCCTTTTGTTTTGACATTGTGCTCCTCATTTACATTAACCTACTTTACCATTTTGTTACCAATATGTTAATGAACACAATGGTTAAATGTTGGGAAATCTAAAAAAGTGATTATATATAAAAAGTTATTACATTCAATTGTGTCAAACAATTATTGCAAAAAGAAATTATTAGTCAGTCTAGGTGTTCCCAGAGATTTTTTAAAAACATACCCGCATAAAGCCTGAGTGTTGATTCTGTAATCAATTCAAGGAGGGAGAATTACTGTTGTGTTTTTTGTAAAAAGAAAAAAGAAGAAAAGAAATAAAGAATCTAAAGAGAAGGAATAAAATATTCCTTTTAACTATCGATGTCCCATCTGAAATAGTTCTCGGAATTCGGTCCGATATCGGCTCTATATTATCAAATACCGGTAAATATCAGAATATATACGCCTGCCTCTAGAATCTCAGCTATTAGAAAGCTCATAAAAACACTTTCCTTCAATCTACAATTTTTTAAGTTTCTGTGACTTTTTGGCGAATAAGAAACAGATCTCTTGTTCTCATATCTAACTATTGTCTGTTCCAAAAATATCAAACCTTTTCTATCATTCCTCACAATAAAATGTGAAAGATAAATGCTGATATAGAATTACGTTATTTTGGTATAAATAAATTGTTAAAGCGGCAATATCAGTATTGAATCAGAAACCCAAAAGTTAGATTTGGACACCCCTACTTTTAACTAATAAATGAAGTTTTAATCCTCTTTAGAGCTCCGTACCTCAGCCATACTTTCCTGCAGAAACATGTTTTTTAGTGATCCTTTCCTCCATTTTACATTTCGACATTGAAAAAAAACGACATTAGCTTTCCGTATCCACAACATAAACCATTACAGAGGCATAAACATTTACAGGAAGGATCTTTTTCTAACGGTTAAGGCTTGCTTTGTGGAAGCTTGAATTCTTGTCTGGGTTTCTGTCCGTTTGACCGACGCATGTGAACCTTTGCTTTGTAGAAAATTGTATATCTAGGGAAAAGACTGGAAGGGCAAACACAAACTGTAGTTCAATAGAAATAAGGATCATATGAACCTTCTATTCAAAATGGAGGTCTGAACGTGTCATCAGTTGGAGAATTATAGGTTCATGTTAGCTACAATAAAAATTTTGTAAAATAGTTCAACCCTTTATGTGAAAATTAAAAGAATATAACAAACCTAATTTTCTCCATTACCCATTTGTGTTAATATAGCTTTACAGAAGAGATGAACCAACTTAGTAATAAACATATAAGGAAAAGTAAGAATGTGAAACAAGTATATTCTATCAGTGAAAAACAATGAATGGCACTAAATCTTCATTTCCTTGTCATCAGGGTTCAAAGACTTTGCTGTTTATCTTTACAGTTTCTGTGACCTTGACTTTGTCTGAAGCGTGAAGGAAAAACAAAAAGTCCCTGTTTATTTCGGAGAATTATTTTAAAATCTTTTTCTTTAAAGCCAGAAACTTCCAAGATTTAGGATATATGACATCTAGTACTTGGAAATGTTTCTCACTATCCTAACTGACTTAAACTGAGAACATTCAGTCTGATTAAATGTCAAACATTAAAGAACATAAAAAAATCATGTTATTTCTTTTTATTAGTGTGCATTTTTCTACAATCTACTGTACATCCAGCACCTGATTATAATCTGAGTTTTTTTTTCTTGTTTTCTTTTGTCCATAAGAAATATCCACCTTAAAAAAATGTTTTTTATTTCAATATTTTTTCTGTTTCATTTCAAAACATTTATTTATTTAAAAGTAGAATGATTTGTTTGAAATCTCTGCTTCTCAGTACGATTTCTTTGGTGTGATATTTTTTTGATGCATGTTGTTTAAGACTGAATACTGACGCTACCTAAACAAATGTTCTTAATAATTTTCACTCCATTTAATTATTTATTTGATCTAAAAGTGCAAAATTTCAGTTTTTTCACTTCATTTCTCATTAATTACATTTTTCTCACTTTTCTTTTTGTCATATTTCTTTCAAGTAATATTTTTGTATTTCTCACAGACAAAATCTTATTAAATACTAAAAGCAGTTTTCAAATGAAGATTTTTATCTTTGGGGCGGAAGATAAAAAAAGGAGAAATACAAGAAATCTGCGGGGAAGTCAAACATTTTAAAGCACTAAACGTATCATACATTCTTAGTTCTTTGTTTTACAACACCATCAGCAATCAAATGAATTTTTTTTTTTTTTTTTTTTTTTTACTTTTTTAAACAACTTCTCTTTAGTTTTCGAGGACTGATCAGGTCACTGAACTGGGTTGAATAAATTTAATGTAGCAAACATGGTTTAAAGATTAGAGGGGAAGTAAAGATCTGTCTTAACCTTTTTAAGTTGCTTTTATTTCTTACCTTTTGAAAGTAGTGATCTACTGATTTATTATAAAGCATTTTTTTAGGCCCCACCTGTCCTGGTCTTTGTTATGTAATATTTTTTTTAGTGGAGTGTTATCCTCCTCCCACGCTGGGCTCCCGTTGTGCTTGTTGTGTTTATTGGCCTGCTAACATGCAGACAAACAGTCTGTTGCCCTTAAATCAGTTTAGCAGCTGAACACTCACACAACAAGTTCAAAATATCAAATGAGTTTATAGTTTTACCGGCTGAGAGTTCAGTTTTTTCCTCATATGAGGCTGAAGTTCAGGATCTGAGCTGTTTTTAGCCGTGAACGTTTGTCTTCAATCAGAAATTCTTACATTAGCTCATTGGTTCTCATCCCATTTCTGGCTTTACTGACAGATTTCTTTGTTAATTTGTCTTTGGTTTAAATGTTTGATGATTCTATTGACATCTGTTGAAACTTATCGCTGAAGTAATCTGAAATAATCATGAAGTTTCAAATAATTATCCTTAATTTCAATCCAAATATTGTTTTCAGTTTTGATTTTTACTGTTTTATATTTAAAATCAGCAACCTGTGTCTTTACTATTTATAATCAAAGATATACATTTATTGATCTATGTTTGAAGCATTTGTTTAAAACATTTTTTTGCTATATCATTTTTTTTTATCACAATAAATGTTTCCTTTTGTTTTGACATTGTGCTCCTCATTTACTTTAACCTACTTTACCATTTTGTTACCAATATGTTAATGAACACAATGGTTAAATGTTGGGAAATCTAANCCTATTATTATTGAGAATTTATGTATTTGTGTTTTTATTTTTTTTTGTCAGGGTTAGTCCTCCCTAAACACATAGAAGAAGAAACATTTTCCTTTGCTTTTTAATCCGACAGATCACAGCAAACTTTAAAAATTAGAAAATAATGATGCATGGTAACAAATTTGAACAGATCAACTCAGTAAAGGCTTTATTCTGCTTTCTTTCTCCTGTTTTTAGAGGACACAAAGCAGGATGAGTTTGTGAAGGAGGTTCAGGCGCTGAAGAGCCTCCATCACCCAAAGCTGATCCAGCTGCTAGCCATGTGCTCCAGAGGAGAGCCTGTCTACATCATAACTGAACTAATGAGCAAAGGAAGCCTTAAGTCATACCTTGCCTGTGAGTACAAACGCTTGTTGCAACCATGCCTTTGAGTACACTAATCTGCAGCATTGTCTGTGCTCACCCGCAATTTTGGAGAGGTGTCTGCGGAAGGTGGGGGGGTCATATCTGCTTTAACTGCAACACACATGCAGATGATCTTGTTTTTGAGCATACACCAGGTTATAAAGCATTCCTTCCAGTAGCTCAATTGCTTAAATAGAAAGTGTGTTACTCCTCTGTGTTTTTCTATTTTTTGACAGAGTATAAGACCTTGTTCCTTAATCCTGCAAAAGGTGCACAGATTGGGTATCTGCAGGCCAACTGTGCACCTCCAGGTGCAGGTTTATATTTTACACTTAACAGTACAGTATTTTATGGTTTATCTTTTAACTCGTCACTAGTATGTTATTCTTATACATTTTTCTAAGGTCCACATTTGTGTGACAATTTATTCTATACGATTTTGCTGTTGTAAACACCAAAATTTCCCCATTCATTTCTATTCTATTCTAAAAGCAGTTGATTTTCCCAAGTGTGTCAGTATTCAAATTAAAATCACAGCAGTAAAACAATCCTGTTGTTTGGTTCATAAAAGTCATATCCCTAATTGTGTAAGGCTGTTTATAATATGTGCAGGAGATAAGGTGATCACGTGTCCCTTCTGCGACATTGTTTTATGATGTGCTATCTGCAGAGCAATGATCATTCCTGCCGATTGACCTAAGAAGAAAGGTTAATATCATACAAAAGCAGGGCAGAGGTCCTGTGAATGAGAGACTAACTTAATCCAACTTGTTTTAACGATTTGGTTTATTTGAACGCAATCCAATTCAGATTGCGTGCTTCAGTTCAAGGGTCAGCATCTGCCTGGAAGAGTTTCGATATGTCGGTGTGTTCTGAAGTGATTGTAGAACAGAAAGAGAAAAGAGTCAAGGAATTGGGGATTTTCCTGCTTCAATATAGGAGTTGTTCTGGTCTGTCATGTGGAAAAAAATCTAAGCCTAAAATGAAAAAGCTCTTAATTTACATGTGAAAGTTCCAGCCCTCATCCACAGTCACCAGATTTGGATGGAGAACAAAGGAATGGATCATGGATATACTGTAGGTGTCTGACATGAGTTTAATCAGTAGTGATGGCTGGTCTCAGACTCAGAGAAAATAAGAGGAATAATGCTAAGCTTGAAGTAAAGCTGCAGCTACAACTTTTTACACCATTTCCCCTATGAACTTTGTACAGACCTAAAAGCGAAACAGAAACGTGTTAATGGCACAATACAATAAGATAAATATTTTATGCATTTATTGTTAACATGCATTTATACAGGTGTCCCAATAGACACAAAGTCTCAGCTTCAGGGCATCATACTAGTTTTGTTATGCTGCACATGTATCCTGCTAAAAAAACACAAAAAAGGTAAAATAGCGACCCATTTGGGTTTGTTTAAAAATGCTAATTTTTCCAGCATTAGCGCCTCCTGTCAAACTTCTAACTGTATCCACACTTGATTGATCATGAAACTTTGTGTTCTCAGCTAATGAAGGCCAACTTCTGAAAACGGCTCATCTCATCTACATGAGCGGTCAGATTGCAGACGGTATGGGCTACTTGGAGGACCGACACATTGTTCACAGAGACCTGGCTGCCAGAAACATTCTAGTGGGAGATGATCTGGTCTGCAAGGTGGCTGACTTTGGACTGGCTCGGATAATCAAGGTGTGAAGGGTTCAACTGTCTACCATTAGGCT